CTCTCTCGAGTTCGTGCCGAGAAGAGACGGCTGGACTCGTGACTGGCCGATCGTGTATGTGACGTAAATTCTTTTCTTGGGAGAAGCACTGGCGCATTTCCTGAAAAACAGCTAGTAATCGAGCCTAGCCGTCACGTCACACTGGCCTGTGATTTGTTTTAGTGTCCGCTTATGGATGGCCCGGTATTTCAGATTTTCTAGGGACGCTTTACTGAGACCAAGAAGTTAACGTGCTTAGATAAGTGCCATGCGAAGGTTATTTTCATGGTTCATACGGTAGAACTCTGAAATTCCTGCCTCTTTCTTAAGTCATCTTGTTCAATTCCATTGCGAGTATAGCTGTGCTTGGGTTTTCTGAGTCATGGAAGGACTACAGGTGTGTGGAGGTCCAACTCTTGTTATTGGTTTTTCCCCCCAGGTTTCCTTGTAGTGTGAAAGGCTGCATAGTAGGTAGGCAGGAGCGGTTTCCTCCCATAACTCAATTTCCGGTGAACGGACAATGGGTACGCGGTGCAAATATTATAGGGGAGCTCCACGCGAGCGCGAGCGTAGTCCCATACCTAAGAAAATGTGGTAATCTACGCTTCCGAGAAATTTTGGTTATCACGGTGACCGTCCACCCGACCGACCGCCCGTCGGTCCGCAATGTAGAATAACTAAATGAACAGGTATGGCAACCCAAATGCAACTCGAGGTTATTTTGCGGGAAATCACATAGCCATCCGCGTGTTGTGAAGCATAGACAACTAAAGAGTCAATAAAGACGAAAGCGAAAGGCGGAAATTGTTTCTGTATCCGTTTTGTCCAAAGTTTCGATGTCTTACAGTTCAGAATGCAATCAAGGGAGATGCTCCGGAATACTTTGATTATTTAGGACCCCTTTAAGTTAGTTAGTATACATAACTATAATACAGTCGAACCTGTATTAAGCTGTCACCCTCGTGAAATGGCTACGTGGCCGCTTAATACAGGGTGACCACCTAATACAGGTTGCAAGAAATACAGTTTAAAGAATTCGATCTCCAGTGCTGATCAGATCAGACGTTTGACCTCGAATAGAAACATTCATTTCCGGCGTTTTAATGATTTGCGAAAATAAAAAAGGAAATCAATTGTTTTTCTCGTGGGTTACATTATTTGAAACTTTATGAAGAAGTAATTGACACCGTGTGATCGTTTAATACAGGTCAAGACCATAGAAAAAGTCCCGTTGGGACTTCGCAAATGGTGACCTTTTGGTGGATCAGTTTCTTGGGGAGCTTGACCACTAAGCTTAGAATAGTAACCGAGCCTTCCCATTTAGTTTCCAATCCTTCCTGAACCGCTTGTATGCAATGTTCAGCTGGCCGCAGGGGTTGTTAAGGGTTAAGCCCTGAGAATAGTAATTAGGCTTAAGCGCTGATCAATACTGATTAGGGTTCAGCACTGAGAATAGTGATTAGGGTTAAGCATTAACTCGATAAAAGGTTAGCTTCTATTTGGGGTTAGGGTTGTTGCTATATATCTTTAAATCAAACCATCAACCGTCAACAAATGCTCAGTGACGTAATGGTATGGGAGATGGACTGCAGATTCTACGCTTAGGGTTCGAGTCCTACTCACGCCCTTCTGAACATTTTTTTCCTTAAAATTTGAAGATACTTAGACTCTGTACTCTTGTTAGAGGGAAATGTCAGTTTGAAGGAAATGTCAGTTTGGAGTATGGAGATGAGTGCTCCCCAAGAAAGTGATTCCAAAAAAATTTTTGCTGACTGCGACCGCTTAATAGTGGTCGAGATTACAGTACATCAAGGGAAGTAATTTTTGGGACTTTGAAAACTAACCTCTTAATAGAGGCTTACCGCTTAATACAGTACCGCTTAATACAGGTTCGACTCTACTAGGAATGGTTTTCGACCTAGACTTCCCAATCCGCCGAACGGAATGGAGAAGACGGACTACGTATTTTAGACCTTTCAACGATTGACCTTCCCTGCCTATTGAACTAACTAGTTATAGTTGTCACTAAATCTGCCCCCGACCTTTTAAAACCCGAATGAAGACTCCTTGTGGTTGTCCATGTATTTACCATGAACCTTTGAAATGAAGTTTTCGTATTAGAGTTTCTGAGTGTAATTCTTTTGTTCTCTTTTGTGTTTTCTCAATTATTACACTTTGTTTCCTGGGTTAATGAAAATCCTCATACATGACATGCCTAGGATGGACAATTGTTTTTTATACATCTCATAATGAGTTGAACCAACACTGCAAATGTAATAGAACGCGTGTTAAACAGCAAAACCATCTTTAATTATCTATTTGTAACTAAATTTCCTATAACTAAAGTGTCGAACGGATGCTTTGGCTTCGAGTGTGACATTCTTGAACGCAACGTCGAACGCAACTGATATAAATGATTTCGCAATAAACTAACCCTACAAAAACATGGACCGCTGTTTCAAGTTTCTCACCTTTGAGATATTTCCCAGTTCATTTTTTCTGGCATGTCCTTGTATCAAATAAAATAATCGGGATTTCGCAATAAACTAACCCTAAAAACACATGGACCACTGTTTATTAAACCCTGAATAACTTAATATAGAACAAAACCCGGTTATTTCACGATAGCACCTTTCTTGTCTTTGACTGGATTTTGAGAAATTTGAGCTATTCCTGATGTGGTTTGAATCGAGTTTGTCGATCCACGTTGACAAAACCAGTTCAAAGTTCTGTCGATCCACGTTGCTGATTTGTGTCTGACAAATCAAGTTCTTTAATACCAAACAATTGCAGTACTGCTGAATAACTTTTTAACTCTATAGAAATATGTATCTCGCAATAAATTTCGCGAAACTCGGTTTGGTAACGGCACTCAAGTTAAGCCCTGTGGTCGGGGTTACGAACTGGACGGGTGACCAACGGCGAATATCGTGTTAAAGGTCCATACGTTTTCTTTCTTTTCTTCTTCTTCTTTTTTGCGTATTATGTAGTGTTGTTGTTAACAGTGTATTGAAAAGCACATTTAGCATTATTTCGCCGCCCGCATTTAGAAAAAGACAAAAACAAAGAAAAAATATGGCCCGGTGCAGTTCGCCTGAAAATTATTATTATTCGGGCCGTAATACGGAGCTGAAACTTTGCAGACTTTGATCTATATATCTGCGGGGAAACCGGCAAACTAAGAAATCTGGGTTTTCGACAGTGTAAAACGATCATAATTCCTTTGATTCCAATCTCCTGTTCCTCTGTCTGTTGTTGTCGGCGTTGCCTTCGCTGTGCTCATCGATGTTCCTTCTACTCCGCGGTTTCTTGTTGACGTCTTCTCCTTCGTTGTTCACGCTTAATTTGAAGTCGGCGTTCTCGCTCTAGAGGAGTTTCGGTGGAAAATCTTCCCGAACGAGGATTTGGAGCCACTTGTTGTGCTTGTGTGCGACACAATTCGGCGAATGCGACTCGTTGACAAACGCAGTTTGCGCAGTTGCTGAGCCAGGCGCACATGCTGAAAATTAACCGGGACCACCGTGCGCGCCTAGTTTCATCAAATCGGGAAAGCTTCGCATATACTAACAGTAATACGATACTTCTTCTTTACGCGGGGGACATTAGGGTGCCTCCTCGGGTTCCGGCCTCTGGGCCGGAACCCTGCGGGGGCAATAAAAAGACCAATGCCGGACATGATTCTTAAAGCAAATTTGATTATGTTTTTAGGTAACTCTTCTAAGGTTAGCTTTATGTACATGTACATATTTTTAACGAAGTTCTTAATTATGATGCTACTCTCTTCTAATATTCCATTTTAGGATTTTTAATGTTATTTTAGTTTTAATACTTCATTTTTAATAGAGGATCCTCCTAAAAAACCACTCTTAGTGATGGAGGCCTCCTCTTAAAATGTGTATTACTTGTATTTTATTATTATTATTATTATTCCATAAGTAGGTTGAGTATGATCGTCCGGGTGAAAGACTTGACCCTTTTACTCTGAAGATGACTACCGCACAGGTTGCCAAAGCGTCAGATACTGTCAACAACAACATTCCTTTTCAGGACTACGTTCACCCGGACGATCATACTCAGCCTGCTTATGAAATGACTCCTGGGTTCAAACCTTTCACATTATTTTATTTATTGATTTATTGATTTTTTTCTTTCTTTCCTTTTTTTTTAAATATGGATTAAGCACTATATAACATTAAGAATTATATAAATGATAAGAATAGCAATCACTGCGTCAATAACGATTTAGCAAATACATTCCTTGCGGCTCAGATGTGGTCAATGACTCTTGCAGGTAGTCCAGAGTTTTAAATTAAGTCTTTACAAAAGAGAATTATCCGTCTCTGATATTAAAAAGAAAACAATTTAAAAATAATAAAATCTCGTATTCCTAAAATTCCTAATTCTTTAAAAAAAGATATTATCGATCTGTAGGTCTGAGTTAACAAAGTCTAGTTGTCTTATTCTGGATCTTGAGCGTCTCAAGCATAGTATCGCAGAGCGTACGATGGCGAAAGATACTTTAGCTCTTATCCAGGAAATTGCGCGTGAGTAATTTTCTCCCTTCTTATTTGCGATCAGCTCCGCAAGTCTGATGTGGTACTTAACACGCTCATCCGCCATTCCACCTGTGGTCGTGAAAACTAGCTATAGGGGAGTGAACGTTCCCTGTTCGATCTCCATTACTCTTTCCGCATACTGCCTCTTCTTCTCTTTCTCATGCTTCTTGTAGATCTGCTTAGGAGTTATGTCTCTGCATGAGTCTGCATTAGGGTGACACACCCGGACGTCGAAGAATGCAGATCTCTGTCTCTCCCAAAAACCTCGAGCATGAATATCCAAACGAGCATCAGGGGCTTTTTTAGCGTCATGATTTAATGTCTCCTAGTGACGTCCTGAAGGACCAGCTCTACTTCCACGTCATTACAGACCATCCTTAGCATCTCTGCTTCCAAGTTATCCACGCTAAATTGAACACTGCATACGAAGAGCATGGGCGTGTCCGTTATGTCCAAGTTGTACTGTAACTTGATTGCATCTCTAAAATCCTTCTTATTCAAATTGTAATCCAACTCTTTAAGGGGAATCACGGTCAGCCAATTTGATGATCCCTTCTCTGTAGCTAACTCAACAGCTCGCTTAGCTTTTGTCGGCAGGGGGTTCTTCACTTGCTCCAGCATCTCACTTAGACAGTCATCTTTTTGTGTTCGTGTGCTCAGTTGCAGTGTTTGAATTTCTGAGGCATCTGGAGGCTGGTGCTTTTGCTCAACAATTCGCCTTACGAGCGGATTAGTAACTTCGATTGAAGCCTCGTATTCAGAAGATGAGGTCACTACAGGATCTGTGAATCCAAGGCCTCCCATGCGCACAGGGTAACCAAGGAGGTCGCGCTTTACTTTAGTGACTGTATGTTCAGTGACAGCTGGTATGAGAAGCTCATTAATCGCGCGCTCGAGTGGCTCAAGTAATTCTGCAATATCCGGTAATGTTCTTAGGAAATATGTCCAACGGTGCCGCAGACCAAAAGTGAAGGCTGCATAGCAGGCTTGAGGCTGTGATATGGCGAAATCTGCGAGTTTAGTAACTTCATTGACCCATTTGTCTACTTTCTCGCCAACATATTCTTCAAGGAACGATCCTGATCCTAGAACCGCGCCTAAATGCTTGTGGACCTCTGTGGTTACGTCAATAGCAGTATCTCTAAAGACCTCCCTGGCAGGCTGTTCTCGTGCCGGTTTGATGATCAACCAACATGTCTTGGCATTAGGGAAGTAACCCAGCGGAGGGCTACTCTCTGATAGTTAATCCCACCATTTCCTCACGTCTTTTAGGGAACCACTTCCGGTTATGTCATCAGCAAACCGACACTGTTTTGCTGCGCTTGAAACGTGCAGTCGCGTTATAAGTGGTTGAAGTGTTGGCGTATAGGCTCATGGACAGAGGGTCACCCTGTGTGGTGCCCTCTGTTAATATTAGTTCCTCACCGCCTTTAAAGAAGAGACGCGCAGGTTGTCAATAGGTGTTTATCACACAGGTAGCCAGGGTCGAACCAACACTCGGATATTATGTAGTGCTGCAGCTCTGTTCAGGGTGTTAAAGGTATTTGATGCATCGATTAACAGAACAGCATCCGTTTGATCCGCCTCGAAGATGTTGCGCATTGCATGAATTGCAGCTTCAATTTGCGCTTTTGTGCCCTGCACAAACTTGAAGGGAATCACTTGCCTCAATGACATCGGGCTTTGTCACGTGCATAACACACTTTCCCATTTTCCACCGTATAACTTCTCCTACACCAATCGGCCGAACAGCGTCCTTTCCTTTGTCTAGGGGGATGAGTCGATTCGTATTATTATTATTATTATTATTATTAT